AACTTTTTGTATTTTTTGAAGTTGAGTTCCTATCTTCCTCCATTGGGTGCTTTGAAATTCAAAACTTCATATTGTGTTCTCTCTTCTTCTTCTTTTTTTTAAATTCCTTCTATTGCTTTCCCCGGCACCGGCTTTTTGTTTGGGAGAAGGAGTGATGTACAGTGAGTATCGTTTATAAAGTGACCGGGTGTAACGATATACCGGCTATAATGATCGAACTCGCCAAAATCAAAATCAAATCACAAAAAATACACCTAAATTTTCACTATACACACTATTATCGGCTATACCGATATATCGCTCATTGTGATGGGCTTCAGGAAGCAAACCATATCAAATGCACAGGAAAATATCGTATATACTGATCAAGAGTGATGATCACAAAACAATTGTTCTTCAAATTTAGTTTATTTCTTCCAAAACTGATCCAGTGTTGCCTGGATGCATCTGGCAGCAGACGTGATTGAGAGAAAATTCTTCCTTGTATGCTGTAAGCAGCCACATGTACACGTGGCTGCTTTTCATGCTTTTTCCAGCATGTACGCATCATTTCATGCACAGTCATGTGCCATGTGTCAGTCATACATGCAAATCGGATATAGTGATGCACCGGATATAGTGATAAATTATCGAAAATCAAAGGGGCACGTTATATCCACTATTTACTGTAGTGATAGTGACTGCGTTGTTCTTACACCACCTAGCTGTCATATGTTGCATTCTACACATCACTGCATGTGTCGTACTCACACCTTCATGATGTGCTACATTCACACGGCTGTATGTTATAGTCTCTTGTCATTCCAGTAATCATTGCATTCTGGCCAGCTCACTACAGTCAGTCCTTTCAAAGTTCAAAAGTGTAAAGTACCAACCGGGTCACAGGTGACCCGGTACTATATTTTCAACCGGGTCCAAGCGCCGCCCAACCGGGTGGATTACCCGGCTCACCCGGCGCTGGAGCAGACACTGGTATGGGTATGGCTCAGTGTATAGGTATGGCTCAGTGTATGGGTATGGCTCAGTGTATGGGTATGGCTCAGTGTATGGGTATGGCTCAGTGTGTGGGTATGGTTCAGTGTATAGGTGTGGCTCAGTGTATGGGTATGGCTCAGTGTATGGGTATGGCTCAGCGTGTGGGTATGGTTCAGTGTATGGTATGGCTCAGTGTATGGGTATGGCTCAGGGTACTAGTGTATGCCTGTATGGGAGATGTAAGTCTCGTGTTGTTGAGAATAACGTTATGTTCGGAAAAACCTAAAGTCACAGTCACCTTTCGCAGATAACCAAAAATATAATAATAATTATTGTATTTGTATGCGGTTGACGCACCAAAACATTGATTTTCGGCGAAATCAGTGCAGAAATTGCGTATCCGACAAAAAGATCGGGGATTTCTCAAAACCACTGTTTTCGGCGAATTTTTCGGCCGGCCGATTTGGCAAATGCCTAGGGTCAGACCCACAACTACACTGTAACACCCATACGGTACCAATGCGGCAATGGTCGCAAGACGGGGGCTCTGCCAACCTGAAGCGAACGCGGTGCTGAATATGCGTTGGCCTAGCCAGTCCCTACGTTGCTGCTGCATCCGATGATGCCGTTGTTTTTGCTGCTACTGCTATTGCTGCTGCTGCTCATGCTTCTGCTGCTCATGCTTCTGCTGTCACTGCTTCTGTCGCTGCTTGACAAGAAGTTTGTATTACAATCAGCAAAACGTGAGAACAACAATTATGTACAAAGAACTCAGCGTGTTCAAATGTAACCAGGGCTTGTTGTTATGACAGTGACTACTACAAAATATTTTGTTGCCATCTTCAGTGACTTCTACTGCCAATGCAGACGTATGATATCATGCAGACGTATGATACCAGAGGCAGGGGCTTCTGTCGGTGCTGCTGTTACTTGGCTGGTCTGCTTTTGGTTGTGTTGAGCTAGTCCGTGCAGCTCACCATCAATACCCCGTGGTCTCCAGAAGTCACCGCCTGTTTGTGGTGCGACGTTAAAATATTTACACTTCTACTTGTCAGCACTGCTTACCCCGTCACGTGGTCTCGAGAAGCCAGCACCACTAAGTGATCTTGGTGGTTCTTGTTGCTGTTCCGGATGTGTGTAGCTAAAGCTTTGCTGGCTGCAACCCTCTGTACTCGTACCAGTGCCTATCGGCTTGAACGATAGGATCAGAACACTAAGGACATGGATTAAAAATAACTTGGTATTCACGACTGTGTTCATCCGTCCGAGAATGGCCTTGTTCAATCTGCCGGCAGAACTGTTTCGTGCTTTGTGGACTCATCAGCGCAACACAGAGAAGCTAAAGCCGAACCTGTAATGATGAAATTGGGAAGGTTATCCATTGTTTGTGTCCAACACTAACAAATATGCAAGATACCCAAGATACCCAAGATACCCAAGATACCCAAGATACCCAAGATATCCAAGATACTATAGTAACCACAAACAACGGATAACTTGTCCTTTGGCCCTTCATTTTAATCCATGGGAATGTTGGCATGAAATATCGCCATGAATGTCCACAGACTCCCATAGCTTTCTCATGTGCTAAATGGTGACAATCACAACACCTCCCTGGCACAGCTAACGACGTATTTTCCGGAGAACGGGGGTGCGACTAATACTCCGATCATAAATACGGTAGAAGTCTGTATTTTGCGGCAAAAGTTGGGGGTGCGGCGGCTTATACTCCAGTGCGGCCTATACTCCGGAACATCCGGTGCATTCTCCGTTCCATCTTGCTGAAAGAACAGGTGGCGGATTTCACGGGTCTCTGTAGCCTGCCAATGGTGTGCCTCTGAGTCCTATTGATATTGTTCTATAAAAGCGGGAGATACATGCACATATTCATGTTAAAATGATACATGTACATATTCATGTTAATGATATGTTTGCCCTCTCCATGTCTTGCTCCCAATAACGTAGACTTAGCTGGAGAAGTGAAAAGAATGGGTGGTGAGAGGGCTGATAAAGAAAGGGTAGTGAGAGGACTGATAAAGAAAGGGGGAGAAGGACGAGTCTGGGAGAAGGTACAACAATTTCATTGCTACTTGCTAGACAGTTGAGTCCAAAACGATAGGATCGCATGACACATTATACCCTAATACCTGAGCATACTGTCCCATCGGAGAGCCTCAATATCTTTCTTGCTTTTGAAGTGGTTTGTTACGTGTTTTCGTGGCGCCGGCTTCAGGGCACCTTACCTGCGCAGCGGATCACGTTCCACATTTTAGACCAGTGCCGCCTAAAACTGGTTTGTAGGCTGGTCGGCTTTAGTGGTAGCATGCTGCATCTAACAATACAAGCCTACATCCTGCATGTGCGTTGGCAAGTGACTTCTAATAATAGCAGATTGGCCTGGTACAATTGTTTCCGGTTTCTAAACTGGATTTTGGTAATTATTTTATTCCGCTTTGTTTTGGCAGTCTGTATCACAATTTTATGGTTTTCCCAAACAAAGCTCTGAGTACAGGACCTGAGCATGCTGTAACAAGTACAGTCAAACCTGGCTTACTCAGTCCTCTTTTATCCGGATCCCTCGCCATCCGGAAGTAAATCGTTGGTTACCAATTTACAGCACATGCCATGCATACATACATGTACACTGTATGTGTGTTCGATTATCCGGTTCCCTCGCCTATCCGGATATTTTTAGTGGAAAACGGATGTGTGCGTTTAAGCGAGGTCTGACTGTACATATCCATTATCATAGGCATGCATGTGCATGCATGCCAGTCCTTACCGGTATTAGGGAGGTTTACGTGTGTGTACCACGTGATACTCAGTGACCCACGTACAGGCGTTTTCTGATTCACGACATACCGTGTATGGAGGCTCACCCACGTTCCGCCAGAACGTGGGTGAAAATCTTAGGCCCGGGTAGCTTCGTCTTTGACCAGGTTTGGGCCTTTCGCTTCATGCTTTTGTTTGTTCCGTGTGACTAAACACAACATTGCAACGTGGGTGCCCTTCATCCACTTTACGTGGATCACCCACGTACGCGTTTCCGTTACGTGGGAACTAAACCTCCCTATTATGTAGTGTACACGACTGTACTGTCGTGTACATGACTGTACTGTAGTGCACATGACTGTACTGTAGTGGATATGACTGTACTGTAGTGGATATGGAAATCTAGTCGGAGGTCAAGCGGCCCCAGTGCTCCGGCCGCGCAGCCGTGAGAGAGAGAGAGAGAGAGAGAGAGAGAGAGAGATAGAGATAGATAGAGAGAGAGAAAGAGAGAGAGAGAGAGAGAGAGAGAGAGAGAGAGAGAGAGAGAGAGAGAGAGACACACACACACACAGAGAGAGAGAGAGAGAGAGAGAGAGAGAGAGAGAGAGAGAGAGAGAGAGAGAGAGAGAGAGAGAGAGAGAGAGATAGAGATAGAGAGAGAGAGAGATAGAGAGAGAGAGAGAGAGAGAGAGAGAGAGAGAGAGAGAGAGAGAGAGATAGAGAGAGAGAGAGAGAGAGAGAGAGAGAGAGAGAGAGAGAGAGAGAGAGAGAGAGAGAGAGAGAGAGAGAGAGAGAGAGAGAGAGGGAGAGAGAGAGACACAGAGAGAGAGAGAGAGACACACACACAGAGAGAGAGAGAGAGAGAGAGAGAGAGAGAGAGAGAGAGAGAGAGAGAGAGAGAGAGAGAGAGAGAGACAGAGAGAGACAGAGAGAGAGACAGAGAGAGAGGGAGAGAGAGAGAGTGGCACCTGGCAGAAATGATAATTTGTGGTTGCTCTACCGCTGGATGGAGAGAGATTATCCGTGTTGCCTTGTTTTCTGGGAATGGTGATTGGTTCTGGGCTGAAAGAACGGTTATACCATCTGCATTACAGGATTGCTCCTCGATCCTTCTGTGCATGTGATCAGGGAGGGGGGGGGAGTGGGCCTTAGGTGTGGGGGGGGGGGAGGGGGGGGGGAGAGGGAGGGAGGGAGGGAGAGAAGGAGGGGAGAAGAAGAGGGGCTGGCAGCTTGCTTTGTTCCACAAAGAGGAATGTGTCTGAGATAACATGATATTGGAATGGGAATGGAGGTGAAAATCACCTAAAACAAACCTACGTTTACACAAAACTGGACTTGAGCCAAAACCAAATGCAGAGTAAAACAAAAGAAACAAAAGAAGATAGTAGGGCATTCGCATGCCATCTGTAAGTTCTATGTAAGAAGGCGGTCACATGACTGATGATGTGAACGTGATAGATGATGGTCATGATGATCACATGACTGATGGTAATCACGTGGTTGGAGATGATCATGTGACTGATGGCAATCACGTGACTAACGATGGTCAAAGTGACTGATTGTGATCACGTGACTAACGATGGTCAAAGTGACTGATGGTGATCACGTGACTGATGGCAATCACGTGAATGATGATGGTCAAAGTGACTAATGGTGATCACGTGACTGATGATGGTCATGTGAGTGATGATGGTCGGATCAATGACTGATGATGGTCACGTGACTGATGGTGATCACGTGATTGAACATGATCAGGTGACTGACGGTCACGTGAATGATGATGACAATCACGTGACTGGACTCCACAAGCAGCGTGCGTGCATTGATGCTGTTGACAGCACATCATCATGTGCAACACACTGAGCTTTCACCGGCAAAGCTGACAGCATCCGGCTGACTGAAAGCTGAAGCGAAATCGGCTCGTATCGGTTCGGTTAGGTTTTCGCTGCTGTGGCTTTGTTGCTGGCTGTTGCCAAGCTGATACCGATGTAGTTATCTACCTCTGAGCAGCTTGTATTGTGGTCTTCGGCAATGCCGATAATGCCTTCAACTGAAGATGTAGCCAAGCTGGTCTAGAAAATCAGGATGACCGTCGTCATGGATATTACCATGGTGATATGGAGTGGTTTTGTTAGAGAACAAACTGATAACAAAACTCCTCAAAAAAGGTAGGTTGGAGGGAGCGAGCAATGAGCGGTGTATGGGCAATACGGCCATAACAATTTCAGCACGCTGGTGCGGCAGAGAGCGCAATGCTCTAGGCCTGCGTGTGGTGGTGTGAATACCAGCGGTGCTACCACATCCCCAAGCCATGGGCAAATTTGGAGAGGGGAATTTAACAGGATAATGCAGAGTTGCATGTTGAGAAATGAATGTCTAGATTTCAAGGATGTATCCCACTCTAATGCACACAGCATTAGCGATCATAGAAATATGTATGCAGATGTTGATGCAGGGGTGAGGAAGGGGGAAGGGAGGAGGGAGGGTGGGGGGGGGGGCGAGGGGGAGAGGGGTTTTCTACGACAAGCTAAACACGAATTTCAAGTCAAAAACGATATTGTTTTGAGAAGGCCACTAACCAATTGCTTTGCATGCAGTTTCATGGGATGGGTAGCTGGAATGATTCCGGATGCATCGAAAAGGTACGTTCTTTGTTGACAAGAATTCTGGCTTTTTTTCTTGCTTTTCTTGTTTTATATATTTTTTGCTTTCCTCCTTTTTTATTTAGTCTGTTCTCATGACTTTGGTGTGGAATGCTAGCCTAATATGATGTGTGGAATGCTGTCGAGGGTGCTGTGTGCCAAGTTACGCTGCGAAGAATGCTGTGGCGAATGGCAATTCTTGATTGCCAGAGATGTGATGCAGTTGAAATTGCTATGTCGTTTACCGTATGTACATTTGCCCATTGTGTGGTTGCATATCATGCCCGCTCGGAATCGGGCGGGCTGAACTGCGCCATTGTTCGGTCCACAGATACCTTGATGAAGAGTGTGTTGCCCTTGACGTATGTCGGCGATTCCAGAATGGAGACCGGGGCGAACATCGGACATCCACTGCCTGCATTCACACAATGAGAGGAATGTGAGCGTGTCAAAATGAGATGCGGGCTCGTGGATCGACCAGAACAGACCATTGTGTGAAGCTACTCAGTACCCTGGATTGTATAGTGTGGTTTGGCCAAGTTCAACTCAATCACTTCATCCTTTTCTTGTATTAGCCACCAAGCCATGTCAGGCAACCTGAGAGTGTTTGAAGGTTTGAATGATAATGATACTAATAGCAGCTCGCGTACTACTTAGAATTGAGCACCATGCACCTGTAGGGGAAAACTGTCTATTCATATCTGTTTAAAGGCCAAGGCAATGGCTTCAGGAGCAGTGATGTTGGTATTCTTCAGATCTTGTTTTATAACGTTGGTCCATCTGGTTGGTGGACGTCCGCGTGGATTGGAATGTCTGACTATTTGAAATCCAGGCAGAGTTGGGGAGATTAGAGATAAGTCATGATGGTTCTTGTATAATGAAGTATGATATCCATACAGCTTTCCGAAATCGATAGCCATCTCTGCTTCAGGAAAAATGAATTGCTGTATTTTCCGGAGAATACGAGAAACCGCACTCTAACCACCAATAATTCACCCAAAAAAGTCGGTAGTGCGACGTTTACTACGATACGGTGATTGATTGGGTAGATATTATGTATTTCGTGACAACAAAATATCAATCTGCGGCGTATACTGCAGTGCGGCGTATACTGCAGTGCGGCGTATACTGCAGTGCGGCTTATACTGCAGTGCGGCTTATACTGCAGTGCGGCTTATACTGCAGTGCGGCTTATACTGCAGTGCGGCTTATACTGCAGTGCGGCTTATACTGCAGTGCGGCTTATACTGCAGTGCGGCTTATACTGCAGTGCGGCGTATACTGCAGTGCGGCGTATACTGCAGTGCGGCTTATACTGCAGTGTGGCTTATACTGCAGTGCGGCTTATACTGCAGTGCGGCGTATACTGCAGTGCGGCTTATAGTCCAGTATACTCCAGTGTGGCTTATACTCCAGTGTGGCTTGTACTGTACTCCGGAAAGTACAGTACAGTGATATTAAGCCAAGATGTGGATGGTGTAACGTACCTGTATTCATATCCGAGATGGGACGTTTGAACGATGCCGATCGTCCGTCAGGCTTAAAGACCTCGGTGATGTTACGCTTGACAACGCTATCACTCTGGTCTATCAGCATCATGGTAACGCGAAGTTGAAACGGCCAGGGCAACAGAGCGTCATATTCACCTGTTGGAATATCGAGAGAACACCAATTGACCCTGCATCACCCTTCTGAGACAATACTGCCACTAATTTTCTATTGGCAAATAGAAAGCGGTGGGAGGTGAGTAGATGAGATCCACCGCCAAAGTAGTCGAATACCAAAAATACCATCCCATTTGCAGCATCCATTTTCCATGCCGCTGTTGTCACTCAGCACAGTGAGAAAATCCTTCCACATCCAAACAGGACTTGAACCTTCCAAACAGGACTTGAACCTGATACCCTAGGTTTCTTAGTCACGAACGTACACCATCCCTCTATGCCTGCCTTCTCCTACTCACCATTCCTCTATGTCTGCCTTCTCCTACTCACCATCCCTCTATGCTTGCCCTCTCCTACTCACCATCCCTCTATGTCTGCCTTCTCCTACTTCCTCCGTATACAAACCTTCGTGACTTTTTTTGGAAGGCTGCACACAGCTCTGGAGTTGTTCCGTTTAACTTGGAACAACACTCGTGGCATTGTCTAACCTGTTTACAAGCTATATACAAAAAAATGAGCAACTCAGACGAATAAGATTGGGTTTATTTAGAGTCTTCGTCGCTCGTGTCATTGTCACTTGACGACGCTGACTGCGCATCACCAACAGTTGCTGCTTCCGCTCGCATTTCGTTCAGCTTCTTTCCAGCGGCAGTGATGATCCTACGCGGCATTCTGGCTATGTCCTCTTCATCTCCAGAGCTGCGTATGAATCGTTGTGGACTATTCAGTCGTTCAAGCCCGCGACCTCCATTATGCGGCATTGCCGTGACCTCCATTATGCCGTGAAGCGATCTGTACAAACACATTCAAACGCTTCGCATTTTCTCGGCAGGATTCTCCTCCCAGCATTCTACAACGGCTTCGAGGTCTCTACGATTCCCCTTCGCGACAAAGGAGACGTGTGACTAGAGAGAGGCGAAGAAAGCCAGGTCGTCGACATTACGATCCGGAGTCTGCGCTGGTTGCACTACGACTGAAACGTTTCATCTTGCCGTGTGAGCGCAACAGCTTTATGTTCGCATGCTGCATGCAGGCCGTGCACCGTAAGTAGACCTACGAGCATGGCCAGCTGCAGGGCAGCAAGTGCCACGTGAATCTGTGTTCCACGCGCGAGCTCCACTTCATCACTGTGTCAGTTTCGAGCAAGTAAGTCTTAGTTTTTTCAATTGAATCGTGAGTTCCTGTCGGTAACGTCCTTACGCGCATGGCTTCCGTGGAGAATCTGTTCGGGATCAACCAAACCTACCTCGACATGAATGTGGGTTGTCGATGACAGCCCTTGGCACGGTTCGTTGAGCAGGTCCTTGCTCAAAGACATCGTTGAAAAAAGGCACGAAGTTTTTGTATACGGAGGAAGTACTCACCATTCCTCTTTGCCTACCTTCTCCTTCTCACCATCCCTCTATACCTGCCCTCTCCTACTCACCATCCCTCTATGCCTGCCTTCTCCTACTCACCATCCCTCTATGCCTGCCTTCTCCTACTCACCATTCCTCTATGTCTGCCTTCTCATATTCACCATCCCTCTATGTCTGCCTTCTCATACTCACCATTCCTCTATGCCTGCCTTCTTCTACTCACCATCCATCCCTCTATGTCTGCCTTCTCCTACTAAAATCTAATATAGAAAACGTATCTACTTCATCTTCAGTATACGCAAAGGGTAGCTCTTAGGTACAGCACCTAGGGTAGTTCTTAGGTACATTGACCTATTGACCTATTGACTTATTGACATACATGCTGACATACTTGTACATACTGACTAATAGGCTCTTGCTTACTTCACTGATGACAAGAACTCGGGCAAGATACGAACGAATTTCCCTTGCCAACTTTTCTGTTGATGCTTACTGTATAGCAGGAAATTTTCGGACGGAATATATTTTCGTACGATTTCGTACTAAAATTAGTTCCTTAATAAAATTTGTTCATGTGAAGTTATGTACACTATACATGCGTACCGCATGCAAACACGTGCATTTAGCATGCAGCACTGTACGAAAATGAAATCCGTACGAAAGGTCGAAATTCGGCTTTGTCCGAAAATATTGCCGTCCAAAACTTTTTTTGCTGTACAGTAACTATCATCAAGAGTACATGAAAACCAGAGTGTGCAGCTTGGGGCCTTTTCTGCTATGGGTGTCTGTCACGGCGAAATTCCGTGATTACATCATATTTGGCCCAGATGATGGCCAGATCTGAGGCGGGAAATGGCGTAGTGCGTACAACTGAGCTGCAGTTGTGCAGAAAGAGACCTGCTTGAATCCTGCTTGTACGCACTACATCACTAAAATGATGTAATCACGGAATTTCGCCGTGACAGCCACCCATCCGAGCTGCACACTCTGGTTTTCATGTACTCTTGCTATCATCTCCAGTGTCTGCACAAGGGATTTCAAAGCAACGGGGTACACGTGTACCAGGGACAACTCTTCCGACCGCGTCAGAGCCGGGTACATTCAAGTGCAGCTACTAAATGTACATAAGGGATCCGTGAATATGTTACGACTCCCTGATGTATATTTAGTATAATATTCTCAACCGGTTCACAAGTGACCCGGTGTTCTTTTTCCAAACGGATCCAACTACCCTCCCCCCCCCCCCCCTCTCAACCGGGTCGGTGAACCGGCTGACCCAGCTCTGGAGCAAACACTGAAATTCTCATATCCTGGAGAAAGCTAGCAATGATAACAATAACGTCATGGGTAATGTCAGTGATGTCATAGGCAGTGTTGATGATGTCATGGGTTGTGTCAGTGACGTTATGGGCAGTGTCAGTGACGTTATGGGCAGTGTCAGTGGTGTCAAGCACAGTGTGAGTGATGTCGTAGGTGGTGTCAGTGTGGGTAATGCAGATAACTTCATGGGCAGTGTCAGTGATATCATGGGTAGTGTTGATGATGTCATGGGTAATGCCAGTGATGTCATGGGCTGTGCCAGTGATGTCATGGGCAGTGTCAGTGATGTCATGACTCATGGGCAGTGCCAGTGACGTCATGAGCAGTATCAATGATGTCATGGGCAGTGCCAGTGACTTCATGAGCAGTGCCAATGATGTCATGGGCAGTGCCGGTGAACTCACCTCTCATTAGAACGAAGAAGACGCTGAGATGGGAATTCTTGCCCATTCCATCTCCATTGAGATACACCCTGTGTAGGTGAGCAATGCACAGCGCATAGTTGACAGCAGACAGCGGCCCGGATTACAGAACACACGCTTCACAGCAGCCCGGATTACAGAACACACACTTTACAGCATGCTGAAACACAGAACACACACTTTACAGCATGCTGAAACACAGAACACACACTTTACAGCATGCTGACATACAGAACACACACTTTACAGCATGCTGAAACACAGAACACACACTTTACAGCATGCTGAAACACAGAACACACACTTTACAGCATGCTGACATACAGAACACACACTTTACAGCATGCTGAAACACAGAACACACACTTTACAGCATGCTGAAACACAGGACACACACTTTACAGCATGCTGAAACACAGAACACACACTTTACAGCATGCTGAAACACAGAACACACACTTTACAGCATGCTGAAACACAGAACACACACTTTACAGCATGCTGAAACACAGGACACACACGTTACAGCATGCTGAAACACAGAACACACACTTTACAGCATGCTGAAACACAGAACACACACTTTACAGCATGCTGAAACACAGAACACACACTTTACAGCATGCTGAAACACAGAACACACACTTTACAGCATGCTGAAACACAGAACACACACTTTACAGCATGCTGAAACACAGAACACACACTTTACAGCATGCTGAAACACAGAACACACACTTTACAGCATGCTGAAACACAGGACATAACAACATGTACGCCTTACAGTATTCCTTGGTACAGAGCACATACCGTACTCGTGCGATTATTGCCCCTGGGGCACCATTTTTTCAATGTCCATCACATATGGGGCAGTATTCAAGATAGGGCACTATTTTTCAATGCTGGTTTCATTTGCGTCATCCAGCATAAAAACAAAGAAAAATCGGCCTAAAGTTTCATGCATACTATCATGACTCAAGCGGGGTCACGTGGACGAAGGGGCCATCCCGCAGCTACTCTCCCTGCCACCATCATGAAGGACCTGGCAGGGCACGACATCCCTTTGAAGAATGCCGGCGACCTAGAAAGAGCATGAGCATTTGCTGCAGACAAGTCGAAATGGAGATCAGACATTGTTTTTGGATGAGTTTTTGTTGACTGGAGACAGAAGCGGACTTGGCTTAATTTCAGTGTATTCTCATACATTGTTCTTTGGCCTTTGTACGTGGGCTGTGGTATTATTATCATGACTTAGCTGAAACTGCAACAAGAACTGAAATTTTGATCCTCAAACCACCAGTTCCATGGCCTGGACAAGACTATTACAGTATTAGCGAAACAACACCAAACGTGCACATGTGCTTGGTTACAAGCCCGAGGGGGGGGGGGGCACTATTCAAGAGAGGGAATTATTTTTTCATGGGCACTCAGAGGCTGGGGCACTATTCTATAGGAGTGAAAATTCGAATGTTCGTTCGATAAGCTCCACCGAACGAATATTCGTTACAACGAATGAATACGAATACTTTCATACGGCGCTCTGCTACATCTTCTGGCGTCTCTGTCACCGATTCAGTGTCATCGAGATTCTCCTCATCATCGCTCTGTGGCAGCGGGTCAATGCTGGAGTGATCGCTTATTTGATCATCGTCTGACAACCCGGCAAAAATGAGAATTTCTGAAAAATGGATAATCTTCAGGGAAGGTCGAATCTCGCAGAAAACCCGCCACATGTTATCAATTATTAACATAATTATCATTGTTGAACTCGGATGGTGAGCCAGTATAGTTATGATGAAGAAAGGAAAAGGGCTGAATATTACGAGTTAGGTGTCAGGTCGCCGAATGTCTCATTACTCTTTGTCAGTTTTATGCCATTTTGTCGCACTCGCTGACTGTAATAATATGTATAAGATCTGGATACGTTGGTGGACAGTTTGTCATAACTCGTAATATTTTGTCCTTTTTCCTTTCTTCATCATAATTATCATTGTACAGTCGTCCCTCTCTAATCCGGCACTTTATAATCCAGCACCCTCGATAAACCAGCACAATTTTCAGTAGCCAAAATGTCCTCTTCATGCACATTGCAGCAGTAAATCAGATTTGTTAATCCAGCACCCTCCCTAATCCAGCAGATTTTCGTGGCACAAATGGTGCCGGATTATAGAGGGACCACTGTATAAAGCTTTGCAGTCGTAAACGAACAAATATTCGGATAGTCAATATTCGCATTCGTTTCACCCCTACTATTCAGGAGAGGGTTCTAATCGGTATGCCCCCACTTCAGCGAAACCCTTAACCACGTGGCTCATTCCAACGCGCTCACGATCTCGAACCCCAACCTCCACCACACTCACATGGAACAATCTCATTTGAGCCCAGGCTCATTTTAGCATAATCCCTATGTACAGCACACAAAGTAACGAAACTCATTTCGACGCAATTCAAAGTTAATACAGATTTTCACATTTCAATGCATTAAATTATGTCCAACACCAGAAAGGAATTCCCTTGGCGTACCGTCGCCTTCATTGAGCCGATATTATCAACCGACCATGACACCCAGCAACAATAAATCGCCATGATATCTCATTGTGGGCTTTCTGTTTATCCACTCGGTACTGATAGCCATTACAATTCACTACTTGGCCTCCTCTCTTCGTCCAGAATGCGATGACCCCATCCATGGACTGTACACTTTTGACTGGCTACGAAGGTTAAACGGTGTAGAAACAAGGGTGCATTTGAAGTGAGCCGAATCTGAATCTGAATCTGAATCAGATGTGCTGTAGTAGGTATCGCGCTTTTAATGGTTGCGCTGAGGTGAGATTGCGCTGAGGTGGGATTCGACAGGTAAAGGTGGCGCTGGCATGAGGGCGCTGAAATGTACAGCAGCGGAAATGAGTGACAATCTTCTAATCGATCGAGTACGGTACTTGACAGCATGCCTTAGTACAGAACACATACATGTACTTGACAGCATGCCTGGGTTAGAGAATACACACATGTACTTGACAGAAGCCTGGGTTAGAGAATACACACACTTGACAGCATGCTGAACACACAACACAGACCACTGTGATTCTGCTACAAAAGTAACAGTGCTCTTCTGTGTCCTGACCACTGTCCCCTGTGTCTGAGTCAACTCACAGAGTGAAGTTTGCATGTCCACGTTACAACCGGCTATATAGTTGTGTTGAGGAGCACGACCAGCTTCAAGCAGCTTCAAGCAGCTTCAAGCAGCTTCAAGCAGCTTCAAGCAGCTTCACTTTTCAACCGGCTTCGCTTGTGCCAGGCTACCAGCATACCTGATTGTACCAGGATGGCTGATTGTACCAGGATGGCTGAGAGGGTAAGTGTGATAAAAGAAGTCAGCGTGCAGTTGCTGCGTCTCTGTGACTGTGAGAGGATTGTGATGTGGTTGGGAAACTAGCAGTTTTCAGAATGACGGTAATCACAGTTCCCAGGTCCTTGTATTTGTTAGGTGGAGTATTTGTTAGGCAGAGTATTTGTCAGGCGAAGGATTCGTTAGGTGGAGTAAATCATTGTGGCCGAGTCTCTGTATCATTGCTTTTGTTATACGTAATGTATTTCAGGAAACACTTAACTTGCATCAGTTACCACCAGGCTGTCGTAAAAATTTAACTCGAGTGTTGCAGTGTGGTGAGAGTCTGACTCGAGTGTTGCAGTGTGGTGAGAGTCTGACTCGAGCGTCGATAGTCTGAATGGACTGTGGGAATGGAAGTCACAATTGTGCTTGTCGTGGGATTCAAACGCATACAACCAGGTTGACTGGAGCTCTATCTAAATCTTTGCTTTCTTTTTCCTCTTATAATCACGCTGATTTTTGTCTGCTCCTTTCCTCGCACTATCGAAATGTTGTACCTCCATCACCTCTGCCCTCTTTTCTCAAGACCCTCCGTATATATTCTAGTGATTGTTAGTCTTGGTCATATGCTGTCTGATGAGTGCTTTCACACGAAACTCCGAGTAACAGCGGAAAGGCCGAAAAGAGATTTGTTTTGCTTCATTGCTGTGTAATCTTTGTAAATCTTCGTGTTCATATGTTCACCCACAACATACCTGGCACACATCTTGTATCCACATGGAGATGTGTAGAATGGTGCACTGTATAGACTGGGTGTCTTGCCACTGATTGCTTCACGACGACGTCGAGATATGTCACCAATCTTCCAAATCTGAGATGTTTAAAATGGAAACCGAGATTCGCATGAAGGCCGGGAGAGGAATGAATGGGTAGACAGGTATGTTGGACAATCAACCTGGTACACAGGCAGACCTACAGACAGACAAGGGGTGAGGCTGGTAGGCAGGATGACAGACAGACTGACTGAATGACGGACGGACGGACTGTAAGACAGTCTGTGAGACAGACAGAGAAACGGACAGACAGAGACTGGAGGAGGAGGAGGAGGAGGAGGAGGGTGGGAGGAGGGTGGGAGGGTGGGAGTCTGCGAGGGTGCGATGAGGGAGGGTTCGAGGGTGGGAGTGAACGAGAGGGGTGGGGAAGGGTGCCTATTGTAATCGAGTGTGACTCATTACTGGAACGGACATGGGTATTCTCTGTGACCGAGACCAAACAAGGGCGGGGGGCGGGTGCTGGGTGCTGTTCTATTATTGGTCGTGGTGGGTGGTGGTGTGTGTGTGTGTGTGGGGGGGGGGGGGGGAGTAGGGGGTCACTACTGATCGTTTGACCGAGTATGCAATCAGTAGTTATTGCTGCTGTCTGTTTCTATGAGCTCTTGTGACGGGTAAAGAGGTATACCGCTGCCGAGTGGAACATTACAACACTTACATTACGATGAACATGTAAACATGTAAAGCCTTGCTGATGCTACAGTTACCACAAAACAACCAGCCTTACCAGAACACCATTTGTGGTTTTCACATCAACAATATCTATCCTCAGGTTCATGTCTGCCATTTGTACTTCATGACCTCCTTGTGCCCTGCACATGGACAGTTAGAGAACACCAATGTTGTGCACTGTGCATATACCATGGTAGTAACGTTGTCTTGTGCATAAGTGTCATATGCACAAGTGTCCTATGTACAAGTGTCCTATGTACCAGTGTCCTGTGCACAAGTGTCCTATGCACAAGTGTCCAGTGTACAAGTGTCCTATGCACAAATGTCTTATGCACAAGTGTCCTATGCACAAGTGTCCTATGCACAAGTGTCCTGTGCACAAGTGTGCTATGTGCATAGTGTCCTATGCACAAGTATCCTGTGCACAAGTGTCCTATGCACAAGGGTCCTGTGCACAAGTGTCCTGTGCACAAGTGTCCTATGCACACATGTCCTACGCATACGAGTCCTAAGTGTCTTTTAACATGTGTTAGTGTCGTATGCATTAGTGTCGTACTGATAATTGTCATCTGCATTAATGTTCAAGTGTTCAATCCACAAGTGTCCCATGAACAAATGTCAGCATTTCCCCCACCTTGCCAATCCTGCTAGTTCAGTTTTCGTCTCATCCTTTGTCTGCATGAGCTCTGCCATCTTCTCTGACATCTGATGCATTTCTTCTCGTACATCTGCCAACTGACAAACAAAAATAGACATGCCAGGTTCACACAAATGCGCGCACGTGCATGTACCGACAAATACACACACATGTAACAAAACACACACACACACACACACACACACACACACACATGCATGTACAACAGACACACAAACATACACATACATAATTATACCAACACACACACACAGACCAAGACCGAATTCTTGCATCTGACATCAACTTCAGACTCCTGGCGGTCCAGCAGGCAGCTAGGGTCCCTCATTGGCGACAGTGAGGACCTGGAGCGGAGGAAAGACCTCGCTTCGAGTGCATACGGCAGGATGTATAGCCTCTGGCTGAGGCGTGGGAAGGTCAGTGAGCAGAGGCGCATCCGCCTGTATAATGCCCTGGTTCTGCCCGTTCTTTTGAATAACTGCGGCGCATGGGGGCTCACGGCAGCACAAGCAGAATCGCTTAACGTTTTCCACCGGAAGCAGCTCCGACGGCTCATTGGCATAGTCTACCCAGCCAGGATATCAAATACTGAGCTGTACGAGAGGTGCAACACGGAACCACTATCTGACATCGTGGACAGGAGAAGATGGCAGCTAACCGGCCATATTCTCCGTATGGACAGGGATGCGCCGCCATGGATCGCGCTGACGGGCTATTTTGCGGGAGATGCCAAGGCTGGGCGCGGACGTCCAAGGACATCCATTGCGACGCGCATCACAAACGACTTACAGAGGAGGAACATCGACTTGAAGCGCAGCAGTCAGCTGGGGAATGTGAGGGCCATCGCTCTGGACAAGCCTACATGGAGAAATCTGGCCGACAATCCATGATCTGGCGTCACAGGTCATCAGTGCGCCGTGTTAATAATTACCTTGATAATGGAATTTGATCATAGGAGATAGGACAGAAGCGGAACGTATAATTATACCCACATAATTATATTATTACGCGTGCTGTGGTATTATTATTATTATTATTATTATTACGAAGTAGTGGTTGCGACTTCGGCGATGATTTGTAAGAAAGGTTTGCTCCCCACACCGGAGCTCGCGCTATTCCGCCGACTTTACTTGACACTTGACTGACTCACGACTGCCATCCAGAGCACACGAGAAGTCCATCGAACCTTCGAACCTTCAAACCTTTCTTACAAATCATCGCCGAAGTCGCAACCACTACTTCGTACTGTTGTGCCCAGCGCGGGCTTGCGACTAGTTGGTTTGGAGGTGACAGCGTTGCGAATGACCGAGGGTCCTCGACGTCTGTCTCACCGTCCAGGAGCGACACTGACTCACGCTGCTATCTGGTGTTCACGAGGTGTTTATCGCGCTGGAAGCGGAGCGTCTCTTTAAGTTTGTATCCCTGGTGATGTTTGTGCCTGGAGAGCACTATATAAGTGGTGCTCTTCAGGCACAATCTTCCTCAGCCTACTCAAGCTCAACTGATGAGGGGTGAATTCCCCGAAACACTGTGTATTGAGCAGGGAGTGGTGCTTTCTTGCAGGTTTGCCGAGTCGAAGGTTCGATGGACTTCTCGTGTGCTCTGGATGGCAGTCGTGAGTCAGTCAAGTGTCAAGTAAAGTCGGCGGAATAGCGCGAGCTCCGGTGTGGGGAGCAAACCTTTCTTACAAATCATCGCCGAAGTCGCAACCACTACTTCGTACTGTTGTGCCCAGCGCGGGCTTGCGACTAGTTGGTTTGGAGGTGACAGCATTGCGAATGACCGAGGGTCCTCGACGTCTGTCTCACCGTCCAGGAGCGACACTGACTCACGCTGCTATCTGGTGTTCACGAGGTGTTTATCGCGCTGGAAGCGGAGCGTCTCTGTAAGTTTGTATCCCTGGTGATGTTTGTGCCTGGAGAGCACTATATAAGTGGTGCTCTTCAGGCACAATCTTCCTCAGCCTACTCAAGCTCAACTGATGAGGGGTGAATTCCCCGAAACACTGTGTATTGAGCAGGGAGTGGTGCTTTCTTGCAGGTTTGCCGAGTCGAAGGTTCGATGGACTTCTCGTGTGCTCTGGATGGCAGTCGTGAGTCAGTCAAGTGTCAAGTAAAGTCGGCGGAATAGCGCGAGCTCCGGTGTGGGGAGCAAACCTTTATTATTATTATTATTATTATTATTACACACACACACACACACACATGCGCACACGCTCGCACACCAACCCATCAACATGCATTCATACACCCACACATACACACCAACATATGCGTGTCCGTGCATACACACACACACCATGTACCACCATGTACCATGTATACGCCCGTCGCAAGAGAAGCACACAAATCTGCAAATGCACTGGATGTGCACCCACAGATTTTCTCTTTATAGCAACAATAGCGGATCTGATTCTGATTGAAACAGATCAAGACAAGCGCCAGATAACTGTCTAATCCACACAACTGGCGAAGCCATGTGAATCGACCCCCAATGCACACCTGGTCTACACCACACGAAGTACATCGGAATAGGACGGCCAAGACAGTTACCTATGCACACCCTACACTTGCTGGGGTAACCGGTACACACACACACACACACACACACACACACACACACACACACACACACACACACACACACACACACACACACACACACACACACACACACACACACACACACACACACACACACTTGTACTTGTTGCTCACTGCCAAAACTGGTCACATGGGTCTCCCCGGGAGAGGGGAGAGGGACTCAAAAGGAATCTTGGAAAGATGACTCAATTGGCTATTGAACCGCCCAACGGCCTACACCCCTGAAATCCCCAAAACTCTGGGTGGATTTGAAAATGATCCCACTTATGGGCTCACCACACCTCAGTAAGTGGATGAGGACAAGGTGCAGGATAAGGATTGACGGCATCAGGGTATCCGTCCCGGGATCCAACTGCAGTTACCCCTGCCCCCAGGGAAGGTAATACATGTACTTGCTACTAGTGTGGGTGGCTAAATCAGAGTGGATCTGATACAAGCTTCACTAGCACCATTGATTACACAAGAGTTAATCTAGCCAGATACACACACACACACACACACACATACACACACACACACACACACATACACACACACACACACACACACACACACACACACACCTGTAAATGCTCACTGCCAGATACTGGCAGAATGTCTCCCCGGGAATGTGATGAAAAGAAATCTTGGAAAGTTGACTTTATTGGAAATGACACCGCCCAATGACTGATGCCCTGGAATTCCCTGATCCTTGGGGGACTTGGAAATGATCACACTTTTAAAACAGACTCCTTGCACCTCAGTACAGGTCCTCCCACGTTAGTAGATAATCTCTGGGCCATCAAAATAACTATCTTGTAACGAGCCTTATCTTGTAACAGGACTTGCATTGAAAGGTGAAATAGGCACTGATTCGCATTTACCTGGGCTACCCTCGATACAACATTAATTGTAGATTCTTCAACTCGTTATAAGATAATTGAAAATCTCCAACATAGCTCTTCCTTGGATGAAAAAGATCGTACATATCTAGGAATAGCAATTTCAAATTTGGACTTCACGGAGAATTTCAAAGTTTTAGGAAATTAGAGGCCACATGCCACGTTCTGCTCTTTTCTCTCCGAAACTCAACACTTGCAAGCCAGATATGAAAGAAAATCATCAGTCACACCACCGGAACTCGAACCAGGGACCTTGCTATTCGCGAGCAATGCGTGAAGTCCAGATTTGAAATTGCAATTTGTATTTGCTCGCAGTGGACATAGTTTGATGCACTCCCCATGATATCAAGCGAATGGCCGAGGGCTGTCTTGATTGGTGTGAGTTGCCAGTATGACGCAAGCCAGATGTGGATTGATTGAAGAAAGATAGGTTTACAATAACTGTGGATATCAAGGAATACATAGATATAATACGTTATGCATTTCTGCTTTAACCTATGTGTCTTGGTCTTGGTCTTGCATGATCGATATCATCATTCTTATACTGAGGGTTTGGCACTCCAGGGACCTGCGAAAAGGGTCGTTATAACGAACTTTATGTACTAACGAATTATGTTGTAACCGGACCTGTAAACAGTTGTATAGACCACATTCTGCCAGGGGATTTCAGATTTCTACTTCCACCGCGTCATCGAAATTGTCGCAGTTTGACTAGTGACTTGTCACTTGTTACTGACAACTCCATAAGCTAAACCATTCAAGACTTATTACACAGTATGATAGTCTGAAGGCTAGAGTAACGTTCCAGGACAGTTGGACAGGGAGTTTTCACGCAGAGATGAAGGCCTCGTCATCGCTGATGTCAATGGACGCAAAAATATCGTTCCGAAATATTTCGAGGAAGGTTGGAAGTTGGTCGCGCCTCATCTCAAACGCTTTGACTTTCTCCACAGGATAAGAGCTGCTATGCTTGTCGTCTGCTAGGTCTGGATGATTTCTACGTCACCACCGGCGAAGTAAGAATACACGATCGTTGCGAGGTCGGTTGATTACCGTCGGCGGAATCACCTCGATCTTGAAATGAACTTTTTCAGCCGTGGCATGCCCATATATTTTCGCTGTGTGGTCACAGCTCATGCACTTAAGTGTACTATCACGTCCAGTGCGCCGTCTTTTTCAGCATCACTGGTACGGCACCTGCGCGTGCCTCACTAGCACTAGCACTACGTGTATTGTCTACACGGCTCTGGCAAGTACATGTACAATCATGTACTGAGTGTCTCGGCCAGAGCGACAAATTTTATCGCTGTTGCATGCATTTAGTTTGTTGACCCCTCAATGTTTCTCCAAGCGCTGCCACTTGTTCCACTGAGTTATTCTCACCCCAGCTAAGGTAAAACAGTGATGAGGCTTTGAGTGAATGGCCATAAGCACGAGAAATGTGCAGGCTGGAACGCCTGACTGATCCCAGCGAGTCGAAATTACCATCGCAGCGACATCAGCGAAGAAATTGCATCTAGTTCAAAAATTTCAGCTTCTAATAACAGAAAATAGAACTTTGCCGTCACCCTATACTGATGACTATCGCCTATGTCCGATTCCTTGCCTCTGGTACGAGTGCTGGTGAGTAAAAACCCCGTTTTATATCAAAAGTCAAACTGCGACAATTTCGATGACGCGGAGGAAGTATTTACTAACGGGGTTTATGTACTAACCGGACTCGTTATAACGAGGGAGGACCTGTACTTGGGTGAAGACACTGTTCGTGTAGAAACCCGGATTGATGGCAGATGGGAGATATCTGTTGAGGTGTCCGACTGTACTTACATCTGCCCACCCTCCCCCTCAACAGACCCAACACTATCTGGCACACCCCCTTCCCCCCCCCCCCCCCTAGCTACTTCCACACACACACGCACACACAAACATGCACGCACACACAAATACACCAAATACACACGCACACAAACACACACACACACACACACACAAACATGCACACACCCACATACACGCACACACACACATACACACACACGTATACACCCACACCCACACATACACACATGCCCTCACTTGTCCACTTGTAGCCTTGACGATATCTTCCAGCTTGATGCGATATTGTTTCTCCAGTAAGAAAGAAGCATGCACTAATGACAAGTGCTCTGCCACACAAGTCTGCATATGCTGGGGAATATCACGTCTTGGTATCTATACACAACATAGGACATGTCAACCATACACACAACACAGGGCATGTCAAACACACACACACACACACACAACACAGGGCATGTCAAACACACACACACACACACACACACACACACACACAACACAGGGCATGTCAAACACACACACACACACACACACACACACACAACACAGGGCATGTCAAACACACACACACACAACACAGGGCATGTCAAACACACACACACACAACATAGGACATGTCAAACACACACACACACACACACACACACACACACACACACACACACACACACACACACACAACACAGGGCATGTCAAACACACACACACACACACAACATAGGACATGTCAAACACACACACACACACACACACACACACACACACACAACACACAGGGCATGTCAAACACACACACACACAACATAGGACATGTCAAACACACACACAACAAAACATCATCACAATAAACACCCAACATAACAACACAACACAGAACAGGTCAAACAAAACATACACACAACACTCAGCACACAGCACACAGCACACAACACCACACAGCACACACAACACATAACAGGATGACATCATGCAAGATAGGTTCAAGTGATAAACACGCATATCTCCCTAAATTGACAAGTTGTTTGCAAGGGTGAAATGCCTGCTTTAGTTAACCCTGAACTTACGGGTCA